CGAAAGCGCACTATGGCGCTCACATTCGGTGGTTCAAGATGGATCGAATTTCTCCATTATGCAATCATTGCTCCATTCCAAGCTTTATATCGTATATTGCTTTATCTCATTGGTTATGGCACTACTGGTGGGGGTAATGCATCAGCTTCTGCTACCGGGTCGGGCCATGAAGACAAACGAGGTACAAATATTTCTGATATAAATCGCGTTACAACTGGCGGTAGACGAAATCGTCGCGGCTATGCAAGACAGGTGAGAGTTTTCATGAAGAAGGAACTTTTATAGCTCATTATTAGTCAAACACCGAAGTATCCCTCCCTGTTTCGCAGGCTTTGAGAGACGGAAATACTCAGAAGTGGTGATAACTTGCCAACAACAACCACAAGTGGTAAAAGGGCCAATGGCGCTCTCTCCTCCCGCACCCCTCCTCCCTTGCCCAAAATTTTCATAAATCCCTTGAAAGGAAAAGCCAGAGTGGCAGTGCGCCAATATTGGGACTGTTTCGGCTTCTCCTAGAAAGTGAAATATGAAGGATAACTTGGGAAGTGTTTGCAATGTGCAAATTTGCTAATCTCTGTTTGAAATTATTAATGAAGTGAGCGGGTTCAGGAAGGAAATTTGACGCGCTTTCATAACGAGGACGACTCATCAAATTCGGACGATGAAGCGAGATGGAACGGGAACTCAACGCAGCAGCTGTGATTATACTCTTGTTTTTACATTTTCATTTATATTCACTGCAGTCACTGTGACCATTCTGAGTTCCCCCCGATCACTTGGAGCCTTCTTTCAAAGTAACGAGATGTCGATTTTGGATACTCGGATCAGCTGTAATTCATAATTTGGCTCACCATCTGTGTAGCATCCTATTTTTTTTTCATTCACAGTGACCAGTGCTGCATTGCCTGTTGGTAATCCCGCTGTTGTTTCTGACTTTAATACTATTTACCACAAGAAATACGATCCCAGTGATTTTCCTGACATAAGCCCCTGGCAGACTTCGAAATTTCTTCTGTGTTATGTTGAGCACCACTGTCATATTCCGAAAATTGCTACTGTTAGACCACAACGAGGTACCTTACTGAGTAGCAGAGGAAAAGAGAGTTTTGCAAAAATAGTTCAGAACTGTGGCTTTGTGCTTGAGAATTGAGCTGGCATCACTCAATTCTTGTATTTTTTTCCCCGTGAATGGAGCACCTTATAATTTAAAACCCGTTTTAAATTATTTCCCGTGAAGAATAACTGTGATAATGAGTTTTTTTTTTTGGTATCATTTTTTACGAGATATAAACAGATTACGAGTTCTGCTTGTTGCACACAGAGCCCACATTGGGCCTCCTGTGGCAAATCCAGTTACGCCACATGAACCGATTATGCCGAGACTCCAGGCATTTTTGATTTGGCTTTTTCAGTTGTCAGTTTAGTTTGGTTGACACCATTATTTTAGCAGCAAATTCGCATCGTTGTAGACCGTACACGCGATTCATGGCTATGCTTCGGCGTGTTATGTCTTGTTTTTATCGCCCTCAGTATGGGCGCATCTGTTTGGTACATTCATATTGCCGGTTTCTTCACATGTATTAGTTTCGATAGGTTTTGTGCACTTGATACATCTAGTTGGTGGTGTATTCGAGGTTTTGATGTGAATTTTGCGTATCAGTGACTGATATCCGTGAGGAAGTAAACGACCACTTGGACAGTTCCCTGAAAGATCAGTGGCTTCTCCAAAAATAGAGGGGTTCATTGTCTTGCGGTTAGAGTATTCTTTTGTTCAAGCTGGGCAAACTGTCACGGCTAAAGATCGCACGACCAGGAAGTGGTCATCCAAAAACGGAGCATACTTACTAAGCCAAGCTCTAGATACTGCTGAAAGTGTGAAGTATAGCCTTCCCGATTTTGGCGTCCGCTGCCCCTTTTCCTTGGCTGCCTTTCTCTATCGCGAACAAATTTGTTCACGCAAATTAGTCGCCCTCCTCGCTCCTGGCATATTCCATTATAAGAGTTCCCTCCCTTTCAAATAGGTTTACTTGCCGCTGTTTTTTTGCGATTCTTCCTGAATTTGGCCTCATCCGGGCCCTCGAGTCCGCGAAAACTTGAAACGAATTAGCCTCCAGCAACATGCTCATGGCCGAGCCGAGGCAAAGGCATGCCGAGCCGAATTTTAGCGGTTGCCCGGAACACGGCCGGTCCCATTCCTTCGCTTTCCCATTGGCGAGTGGTCAGCAAAAAGCGCTTCATCCTCGTTGTGTTAGGCGTTTTTGATCCTATGCGGGAAGGGGGTGAGGAGGAGGCTGGACGAGCGGACCAGAGACCGGTGGGGAGTGGACGGCGAGCAGGCTGCAGCGCCAGGAGATGTGTCTGTGCGCGGTGCACCGCACACACAGGTGGCACCACCCGGCACGACAGCTGAGAGTGGGTGCTGCTGTCTATAACGATCAGCTGGCCAGCCGCAACACATCCATCCTTCCTTGATCGGTTCTGTGCTTGCTGCTGCTGCTGTTTCTGCTTCTGCTGCTGTTGTCCATCTCGTTGTCTGTGTGACGTGTGTGTGTGTGTGTGTATGTGTGTTTGTTTGTTTGCATGCAAGCATGAACATATGTGTGTGTATGCGTGTGTGCGTGAGTATGAAGGATGTATGAGTCTGTGTGCGT